GAAGAATAAGAAATCATAGACATTTTGTAACTCCTTAAAGTAATAGCACTGAAAACTAAAGTGTGTATCAGTCCTTAGATTCATAAGGAATAAGCAGTTGCCAACACAATGGAAACTAAAATTTCTACAGCAGAATGCATATACTTAAATCAGTGCCTCAGGAACTGGCTGTCAATTCTAGAACAATTCATGTCTTGAACATTTATTACAAAAATTTACCTTGATGAAATGCAACATGGTAAGGGAAAAGTGCTCATTGCAAAAGCAGCAGTAGACCACCATCTCAATAAGGGTCGACAGGGATCCAGTTAGCTCCCTTAAAGCATGCATCACCTTTGAAAGGAGAGCAGAGGATTATTATTATTTAAAAAATCAGTAGATAGTACAACTTGGCAAGCATTTCATTACATACTTATTTGGTATCTCTTCACAATTTGGGATGCAGTATTGTAGTTGTAATAACATCGCTTCTAAACAATGTTGTGAGACTGGATTCTAGACCAACTTGATTAAAGCTTTCATTTAGTATTACATTTAACCCATTGTAAAATAAATGTAAAATAGATGCTTACCTCCATTAAATAAGGCTTCCCCTCAGACAGGAATATCAAAGCTTCTACTTCTTCATGAAGGGCCAGGAGTGGCCCTGAAGTAGTAATGCTAAGGGGCGAATGCAGAGCAAACAAACCAGGAGCTGTAAAGGAAGTACAAATATAAAACTACACTTGGTCCTGAGAAACACTGACGATAAATAATAATTTAAAAATGATCCAGGGTGGCAAACATACTGCAACTGTAACACACGGCCATCTAGCTAGGATCATCAAGAAAAACTGGGAAGACTTACCTACATTCCTCTGTGAGGAGACATCCGAATGCAAGACAAACAGTGCCACAGTATTATGGAGAAAGCCAAATTCCCGGGCTTGTGCCGAACTCCACCTGCGGTTCTGTTTTGTTAAGAATATACCAAGCATCGTATAAGCACAAATAGCTCCTTTAATGTATCTTTTCATTCATAAAGGCATATTATCAAAGACTGGTTCAGCCAGGCTGAATGGCCAGAGCATGCTTTCAGAGTGATTTGGTGACTGTGAGGGATGAAAAAAGCTACCACAGCCTAAATAAGTAGCAGTTGTTCTCTATTCAAGATGAGCGTAAGCTACATCATCCTGAAACTCCAAGTAGTTCCAAGAGAATGGGCAGGCTGAAAGGCAGATAGATTAGACTTTCTAGCATAGCCAGTTTCCAAGCTATGTATTCCCTTAAACTGTCAACACCTGACTGAAAATACCATTCACGGGCATAAAGGGTAGTTCAAGAAGTAGAAATTCAGAATCATTCAAGTTTAACTGTGCTGAATCACATTTATCTGACAGTCCCATAATTGGCAGTTAGAGGTAATTTAGGCCAAACAGCTGTCATACTTTCCTAGTTAGGGGCTACTTCTGAATGAACAGAAGCTGTAATTGCAGGGGACGTTGCTGTTCTTGGGTAAAAACAATATTATTACAATTCTTCCAGTCTTCCTGCATTCAAAAGGAGCAGTGATTGTGGCAAAGCCTGCAGAATGAATGGGTCTTCACAAAGTTCCAACAATTAGATTTACTAATAAGCTTATGAACTAGACTAAACCACACACTCTCTCAGAGACTGAAGTGTTATCTCTACATTCATACCTGGTTATTCTGCCGGTTGGGACCAAGAAGGAAACGGATCATATGACTCAAGGCACTATGCCTGAGGAGGAGGTCACAGGCTCTTATACCCTGCTGTAAAAGACAGGAAAAAGAGGGTTATATTCTAGAAAGCATGGAGAGACTGCACAAAAAGGCTAAACATTATTTATTATTGATCAAGCATCTACTATGAAATGCTTCTTAAAATTTATTCCATTACATTTAACTATGTTGATCTCCAGACTTTGAATGGTTCTGTGACACCAAACTACCTGGGAATTTTTCCTTTGGGTTCCCCCCCCCCCTTATTAGCTCAATAATAAGAGATCATTGATCTGCAAGAACTGTAACATAACAATTAAGAGGTAATTATAATATAGCACCTATAACTAAAATCTACTTATTACACTGTTCTGTGAACTACTGTGCAAAGAATAGCAAAGGGTGGCATTTGAAACAGCATCAACAGTACAAGATGAGGTTAATGCCTGTACATCTTCAGACTACTTTAAATTCTTAGGCTCAAAAAGAAATCTGCTTCCTTTCCAATATCAACTGGAACTGGTCCTGGAGAAAGGAGGAGAACCATTGTAACATGATATCTCCCACTCTAACCCCTTGAGCCATCCCAAAATAATATCATGATTGATGGTACAGAAAGCCTCAGAAAGATCAAGGAGGGCCAGGATGGATGCTCTACCCCATCCCATCAGAAGTCAACAAGCACAGCCAATGTTGTCTCAGTACCATATCTAGGCCTGAATCCTGACTGAAAAGGCTCAGATAATCCACTTCTGCGTGATCCAATCTGGGTCAGTCCCCGGGACCAGAGGTTTAGTCTTCTGAGCTTTCGGACTCCTGCTGGAGCCCCTATCCTCAAGGAACTTAAAAGCTTGGGAAACGGCCCCTCCTCAGTCAATAGTAGTGCAGCACAGCCAATGGCTTAATAGCCAGCCGTCAACATACCTTCGAGACCGCCTTCTGCCACAGATTACCTCCCATCGGCCAGTACGCTCCCACAGGGTGGGTCTCCTCAGGGTGCCGTCGGCCAGACAGTGCCGGCTGGCGACCCCAAGGGGGAGGGCCTTCTCTGTGGGAGCTCCCACCCTCTGGAATGAGCTGCCCCCAGAGATCAGGGTGATCCCTGATCTCCCTTCCT